GACCGCTGCACTATAGTAAACAGTATGGAAAATAATAACTTGATCAAGTGTGCCAAGCTTCTGCAGGCAGCTTCCACAGCCACAAACATTTGACCGAAGGATGCAATGAAGTGATATCATTAATGGAATAAGAAGAAGCAAGTCTTATCCCCAGTGAGAATGTTTCATTATTAAGGGACGTAAAACCGTTTTTACATGGTCATTTTTTTCTGTCTCCTTAGAGCTCTTGGTGGATATAACACACACGGGAGAAGGACGGATGCTGCCGAACGTTGTCGTCCATCTTTACACAAAGAATCTATAAGTTTCATGAAGGGAGTGATGGATGAGTGTACACACATGGCCAACTTCTCTGGTGAGTGCTGCAGTGAAGGATTACACCTCTGCTTAAAGAAGAAGAAGAAGAACACTTGATTAATCCCTGTGGTCAGAGTTGCTCCCAGACATGAAGAACAGTAACTGGATAAAACAACATGTTACAAAGTTACAATATATATACACAAGTAGCTCAATTCTACATGTGCCAGTATATAACACAAATGTGTATGGTTGTTGTCAGCAGCACATCACAGCCGTCAGAAATGGTTTTGACCAATAAGGTTGCAGGTGGTGTTGTTTGTCCATCGGCGATCGTTAGAGTTGGCGTGTGATGCGAGCGTTGGCTGCTGACGTTTGATGAATTGAAGGTCGCGCTGCTGACAAAGTCGTGATGGTCATACTGGTTTGTTTGTTGCCATTAAAGTGGATACTGGAGCGTGGCACAATGAGTGAGACAACTGACGCCAAAACAGAAAGATGGACAACGACACCACGAAGCCGTTGGCTTGTAAAATGGAAACCATATAGAAGGAATATCAGCCAAGTGTGAAAAGAATTAAGAGACTCGCAACAAGCTCATGAAAAACGATGTTCACCTCAGATTAGAGAAACTTTTTGGCACCTGTGGAGCCTTTGTTTAATCTGGTTTTACACATGAAGTGTCAGTTTTCTGCTCATTGCTAAAATAGAGACTTGTCCCACCTGTGTCCTGTGTCCTGTGTCCTGTGTCCTCGTTCCTTGGGCCGTATGTAGACAGTTCCTTACGAGCTCTTCTGTCTCTGTTACTTGAACACAATCTCCAGCGTGATTATTTTTACTTTTAATATTGTGTTCAAAGGATTTATTGAATGTTTGATACTGAAACACCATCAACAGGCGTAGAAGATCAATTCTGCTGCTGATTGAACAACACAGGGATTGTAATCATTCTCCAGGATTATCATTGTGAAGCTAGAACACTATGAGGGAAACAGGATGACCTTCGTCCTGGCTTATACAAGAAGGTGTGAGGTGAGAGGAGGCACAGGTCCTCCTCCACCTGGCCTTTAATCAGACTGCAGAGGACCCAGCTGACCTTCAGTCATGTTTAACAGCTCACTGTTCCTGCTGTGTCTACCACCCTCTTCTGGCAGATAAGATTTGCATGTGTTTTGCACAAAAGTGAAAGAAATGTTGTGTAGATGTCCCTGTGTTTACCTCTCTGCTGCAGTTCCTGTAGATACCGGTCTCATCGTTGTCGTCCAGGCCAAAGAGGATGCATATGTGCCCCGAACAGGAGTCCTGAGTCTGCAGGAGATCTGGCCAGGCTGTGAAGTCAGATATCTGAGAGGAGGACACATCAGTGCATACCTATTCAAACAGAATATATTCAGGTAAAGTTAGAGTGTTGAAAATGATCAAAAAGGTGTTTTTTAAGTTTCTCATTTATGCCTAATTAAACTATACTCACACAAAAACATCCAAAATCTGAGAATACTTCACTGGCAACACACAATCCATATTTACCTGCTCTGTTCTATAAGCTCTAGTTTTGAAACGTTGCTGTTTTATAGCAGAAAGTTGACATTAGTAACAATACAATGAGCGTTATGGACCAGACTAGATGTCAATACCTGAATGATATCTCCACTGTACTAAATATGACGTCAAATTCAAAGAAAAATCTAGAAATTGTTCAGAGGAGCCAAAGTTGTTTGTAGAAGTGTCACAGCTGCACTTCCTGATTCAGGCGTGGTACATATAGACAGATAACTCTGGCTGTGGACGGTTTAACATGTCTGAGAATATTCGTTAAACTGTGGCTGTTGTCTGGTTAATGGGGGCGATCGTGGCTCAAGAGTTGGGAGTTCGCCTTGTAATCGGAAGGTTGCCGGTTCGAGCCCCGGCTTGGACAGTCTCGGTCGTTGTGTCCTTGGGCAAGACACTTCACCCGTTGCCTACTGGTGGTGGTCAGAGGGCCCGGTGGCGCCAGCGTCCGGCAGCCTCGCCTCTGTCAGTGCGCCCCAGGGTGGCTGTGGCTACAATGTAGCTGCATCACCAGTGTGTGAATGTGTGGATGACTGGATGTGTAAAGCGCTTTGGGGTCCTTAGGGACGAGTAAAGCGCTATATAAATACAGGCCATTTAATCTGATGTTAGAGTTGGGCCACCTTCACAGTATTTCACACATTTCATCATTTTTATGTACATGATTTGTTTGTCATGGACACCTTTGCTATGTTAACGTTACCTGTTTCATTTCCAGACAGGCCATATATGATGCCTTTGACAGATTCTGCGTGAAGTATCCCAACCTGCACTAGCCGCTGGGGGCCAGACTGGACGTTTGCCTTCACGACAATCAGTGTGGCAGCTGAGATCTTTTGTTGTGAGGCACGTGTGACATTTACAGGGTAGCCTCAGAGAAGGTGGAGCTGAGCACGACTCTTCCTGTTTGTATAAGGGTGTGTGATCTAGGTGTGCGACAAACCTCACCGTGCACAACTGAAACTGTAGCAGTTTAAAATGTTATGTGTTGTGAAAGAAACATCCAGGTCTCCAGTTTCAGTTTGATAACTGCTGGTGATCATTAATAGCACTGTGTGTTTCCCAGCTGTTATTGCTCCTGTATCACCAGGCTGCAAGTGTCCTGCTGTATTCCACTTCTCTTCCTTGTCTGACGCAACCTTGGATGTGAAACTCGAGCCGAGCCATTCCATATGAAATCACAGAGGTTCCTCAGAGCTGGCCAGTTTATGTTGGACTGACTTTAGCATATTTGATGAAACCATTAAAGATTCTTACTGAAAATTGTTACGGTTGTACACGTCCCTGAAATTCTTAGGAGCTGGTTGAAATCTGGCGCTTTTTTATTTTGATGCTCACGTTTAAATGTTCGATGATCACATGAACTTTTCTGGGCTGAAAGAAACATTGAGTACGAGATGTGGGATAAAACACCGTGGGAACGCCGCTCGATCGTTTTTCCCTGGAATGTTGTCCTGATGTCACATGAATCAAATTTAAAGGAAGCTGAAGTAAATGTTCAATCACAACAAAGTTTGATGGTAACCCAACAGAATGTAAGTTGATGCTTTGTTCTGTGTCCACTGTGCTGGTGGACTTTGAGGTTAACTGGCTTCACTGTGTTTGCTGTGCTGCTCACACATGTAACGTGGAAACAAATAAATCTCCTTTCTGACAATTTCAGCACATTTCTTCTTCTCTTAGCTGCTCCTGTCGATATATTTCAGCCTGTGTTTTTGTAAGAACTATAACAGTGTGGACAACAGGACCCTGTGATTGTCTGTTATTAATATTACTGACTCCACCTCTGAACTCTGTGGGAAAAACGTAAGTTGGAAGAACATTGTTATTCAAAATTTAACCACAGTGTGTGCATTATGATAGAAATGGACGATGAACAGGACACTGAGTGCTCCTTAGAGGCTGAAACTCGATGTCTCAGACAAATCTGTGGAAACAAAGATCGCCATCATTCACTTTGAAATCAGCACATTTTTGGACCATTTCCTCCGATTTCAATGTCTGAAAAAGGACTAAAAGTGGGTGGACCATTTTAAAAACATATATAAAAGTATTTAAAGCAGAAATTTCACATTGTTATAAATTTCTACCGTATAATTTTCCTACCATGTTGGAGCAGGAGGGTTGGTGACCCACCATGCTGTATTTGGACCTACTACATCAGAGCATTGGTGTTAAAATAGTGATGTCGCTCTATAATGACTGACTTTGAGGAAGATCATTGAGTTTAGTGAAAGAAATGTTACTTCTAATTGTAATTATGAACTATGTGCAGATATTCCTGATGCCATTACAACTGCTGAACAGTACAGACGATGTTTAAATCGCCACACCTCACTGGAAGTGTTTTATTTCTATTGTTTTCTTTTAAGTGCTTCACATGTGAACTGTGTTGTGTGTCATACATGACTTCTGTTGTTTTGTTTCTTAGATTTCTCATTTCTACACTTGCAAAAATAAAATCCAAATTTTATTTTGGAAGCCTGGATCAGCATTACAGGATTTGTTCAGCCTGCTCGAGCTGATAACGCCCGATCGCTGTGTGCAGTTTCTTTCTCACAGGTCATCACTGGAGCGAACACTCACTCACTACTTAAGTGCATGGATGGGTGTTTATGTGTATCATAGATTTCAGTTATAAACCACAGACTTTATAATGAAGCAGCTTCTCTGGTTGAATCCTGTCATCCTCCTGAGATATCAGATTTCTCCAGAGAGCCGCTGTCTTACAGCCTCCGACTACCTATGTGGTCTCCGTTAGGGGGGCAGAAGAGGCCCCAGCCCTCCATGCACCAGCAATCTGCAACAGCTGATCCCGGGAAACACAGACGTTCCCAGCATAGCTGAGAGACAGAATCTGTCCACTGTGACCTTAGTGATGTGCAGTATAGATGTGATACCAAGTAAATGTATGTCCAGTGTTGCTGATACTTTTAATCTATAAAAGCAGCTTCTGTAGGGGAGAGCAGTGCATCATAACTTATGACATGAATCATAAGTTTGCAACTTCTGCAGACATTTTTAATGACCACTCAATCACTGTGATTCTGCAACAATGAGTTGATAAAAACACACCTGAGCTTTTCATTTTAAACGTTTTGTAGACCTGAAAGGTACGTGTGCCTGTCTGCAGAGCACAATGTATGAAATGTGCCAGAGGCTATAAATGAAATGGACCTGAAAATATTTCCTTAACTGTTCACCAAAGCCTGCTGCATCTTACACTGAAAGAATGATGTCGATGCTCCAAATAGATTTAGAAACAAACCGTTGTTTGAGGGCAAGTCAAGGCAGTTCACCTCTACTCAGTTATGGTGCGTTACAAGCCATATATCTTTAATAATTCATATTTTAATTATGAACTATCAACACTTGAAGATTCCCCCATCTCCTCTGAACAGAACGGTCTAAGAATGACCGCTCTAGCCCCTACGGTTAGGAAATCATGGCCATTCGTTCGAGGGGAATCCATAAAACCAGGAAGATTCAAATTGAATATTCAGAGTGGTTGACTGACATCCTGTGTGTCTCTGTGCATTTGTGTTTCCATATGTG